GTAACCACCAATAGTCCTGCTCACCACTACCTTGTTCGTTAGAAGGACTTCTCAAAATCAAATACTACTAGAATTGCTGAAGAGGAGTTTCGCTAGATTGATCCCACCTTGCTTAAGTTTTACCAACTCCATACCTCTCTAGAGGAGAGTTCTTTTGAGCTAAGGGGAAATGATGGAAAGAAAATTAAAAATAAATAAGTGAAGATATTACAAAGATGTTGTATATTTGAAGATAAAAAATATTTTACTCTCATATTAATTAGGCATATTTTATTTTAATTTGAATTATTGTTATCTTTCAGCATTTATTGTTATGTTTTTATTTAATTTTAGAATTTTTAGGATTTTCATATATTTATTTCTAAAGTTAGATTGAGGCCTATAAATAGCATTATTTTAACTCATTTGATTGGTACACACATTTAATTGAATAAGAATTAGTAGTATCATGCATCTCTTATGAGTTTCTCTCTTCTCTCTATATTATCTCTACTCCCTTTTTCTTATTTCTATATTCTCTTCTCCCTTTTCTTCCCTGTTCTCCATCAAGGATATTATACTAGGCACCTTGATTACATTGATTGCTTAAACTATGTAGTTCTTACCAAAGTACCCATCTAGCAGCAATATTTTAACTTATATAGGACTATTAAAATTAATTTCCTTAAATTTTCTAGACTAAGATGCATGAACTATCTATGTCATACCAATACCTTTAATTTTTTTAAATTATTTTCCCACATGCATGAGATTCCATCACTAAAACCTTCCACATCTAGAAAATTATAACAAGGAAATCTAAACTTCTTAATAACATCACAAGCTTTCTTATTAATAGCACTAATCTCAACAATGGCCAAAAAAAAAGTTATAGTGTTTCTTTAAATCATGTACAAAGTTAAGAAAAGACTTCATTTTAGTACACCAAGAATTCCAACTTATGTAATTCATGGGGACACAACCTTAGAAAAGAGCACTTGCCCCATAGAGTTGGAGTTAAACTAGAGCCTTATATGATCATCCTCTTTGATTTCCTCTTCAATAATTTTTTCAACATCCATGACTCGTTTTCTATCTATGAAATTTGAATTCATGAGATATGTAACCATATTAACATGGCTCCTTTCATTTAAGCATTCTACATTTATGCCTTGATTACCTCTTGTCTAACTATTCCTAACATTAACATAGTCCACCAAAGGCCCTTCTTCCTAATGCACTTAAAGTATAGCAAATGGGTTTACATTAGAAATGGGCTTAGAGCTAGATTCAATTTTCAAATTATTACTCATTTTTAAAATCTCATGCCCATGCCATTGATTTTGTTTCCCTATAGGCTTAAACCTCACATCTCCTTTTCTCTTGCTACCAATTATTAAGAATTTCTCCTATTTACTTCACTCCTAAATATTCTCTTCCCCTTTTCTTTATCAAATAACCTCAAATTATCATCATTATTTACCTTTATTCTTATTAAACGAGATCCTTGTTGAATATTTCCATAATCTCTCATTTCAGTCTAATTTTTTGGGTGATTCACCCTATCATATCACTTTATATCTATACATTTCAAACTACTCCAAGAATCCTATTTCACCAAGTTTGTTAGCTTGAGCTCTATAAGCTACCTAACTCATTCTCACCTCCATAGTATATACTTTTTCTATCACTGGAGTTCCACCAAGACACTTTAGGTTTTTCAACGATCCTACCATAGTGGTACTAGTTAGTCTTGTGGGGAAGTTGTCACTTGTATAGCTTGCTTTAGACAATCCTTGGCTTGATGGCTATATTTTCCACAATAAAAGCAATCATTACGATGACCTTCATAAATAATTATCCTATCCTCAACAAAAGCATCAAAAGCAAAAAGTAAAGGTTGATTAAGATCAATATAAACACAGATATATGCAAAACCACCCTTATCATATATAGGTATTGAAAGATCAATCTTGATTGTTTTCCCAATCATATTCCCAATCCTCCACTATGACTGAACATTGTAAAACTTTATAAAAAGATCCAAAATGCATATCTTAACAACGATCCTTTTTATGTATCTGCCCTTCAAGGGTTAAAATTCAGTCTATATTTTGCACTAATAAATAATGATCATCAATCATCCAACACTCCTCCTAAAATGCATAATCTCTGTCCTCTTTATTCATGAAGGGGATTATATGGTATTCGTTGCTCAAAGGTGCAATCTTCATAACCACTTGAGGCTTCTACATCTTGTTAATCCTTACCTCCTAATTTTGCTTAGTCATCTATGCACCTAACAATTTTATGATAAGTGAATTCGTCTATGGCTTGCACAAACTTGCATACCCATAAATAGTAAATTGCAATGTTAGGATATCTTAATTTTTCCATCTGCCCTAATATTCACCTCTTCTTCTAAATTCTCTTGTGCATTTGAGTTTTGACCTTAGCATTCTTCTTATTAAAGTAAGCCTTCCACCCTCAAACAATATCATCCTCATCATCATGTTTCATTAGGAAAAAAGAACAACTCAAAGACAAAAAGTTTATCTTTTAAAGAAGCAAGAACTTGCTACATTCTTCCCCACACTATCTCCTCTTACATCTCACTCTATTTGTTCGTCCTATCCTACATGAAATAGGTAAAGACTAGATCATGTCTATTCAGATCAAGTCTAGTCCCACCCTTATCTCAAACACTACCTCCCTTGTGATCATTATTGTAACACCCTGAATTTTTAATTTCTACATTACCACCAGTTAGGGATTAAATTAGTGACCTAATAAGGGATTAGGACCTTAGATAGTGAAGTGTTGTATTACTTTATTTAGGATGTTATATGAGCTAAACAATAAAGTCCCAAAGTAGAGCATGTGAGCATAGTAAGCATTACCCTCACTATGGCATGAGTCGCGATGGAGGATGGCTATGCTATAGCCTATGGAGCAAAACTCTAATAAGTGACCTCATGTATAGCTTGTGAAAATAGAAGAGGAGAGGAGAAAAGGGAGGTCAGTGTGGAGAAGTAGGGAATATCTTCTTAGGAAAAAGTTTTTGGGAGAAAGGATGATTTTTCTAACCTGTTACTTATTGGATAAGTCTTATACTATCTTAACCTCTAATTCTACCCTATTTTCTCTTAGTTTAAACTATTGAGAAATTAAATTTAAAAGTTTTAAGGAGATGATTTCTACTTTATAGTAATAGAAAGGTCCTTTTTGACTAAACTAATACTTTGTAACTAGTTTAAGTCGGAACAATAAAGCTTTAAAGTGATAAACTCAATTCAACCTAATCTTGAGAGAGAGTAGTGAGAGAGAATTTGGTTGTGAGGTAGTTGATGTGTAGTGAGTGATAATTGGTCCTAGTAGGCGTGAATAAATGCAAATAGAGGAAATGGTAGTGTTTAGATGCTTAATTATGGTAATTGGCACTTTTAGTCAATAGAGTCATTGAATCTAAGTGCCTGAATTAGTGTAGATTCTTGTGTATGATGAGTTGAATAGCTAAAGAAGCTCGAATAGGGTTGTGGAACACAACTAACCCTTTCTATTGAATAGAAGGGTTGAGGTAACTATATAATTTATTATGTTTATTAACTATATATGCTATACTTTAGTTTTACTACTTTGACATGGTTATTTGTGCTAATAGACATTCGATGAGCTACATTGGTTACTAAGATTTTGATCTCACCTATGGTTACTTGCATTTTTCAAGTTCTAATAGTAATGATTCAATAGTGAAAGATATAGGTTGAGTTGATACTTCTTGCTAAAGCCTTTTGTAAGAATTAATGTAATGAATTTGTATATTGCTAGTTATGAATTGTGTATAAGTTACCACAGGAACTAACACTAGTGCATAACTTGTGAATACGTGTGAGAATGTGTGATTTTTGAAATCTAGCCTCCTGTATGTTTACATATATGTATGTATATGATGCAAGGATCGTATGGGCAAGTTGATGGATGATAGGTGTATGGAATTGGCCATGTGAATGAATTGAATGGAAGAAATGTGATTTTGCCCAAAAGTGTAATATGGGCAGTTTATAGGCCAATTGTGTGTATATGTGTTATATTATATATGTAATTGGTTGATCAAGTACATATTGTCTATTTGAATGTAGTCAAGACCTAAAAAGTAGCCAATGAATTTTAGTTCCAATTAGAGATGCTCAAGTGGCAATTTTTAACTTAAAATGGTCAAAATGCATTTAGATATTTAATTTTCAAACAAGATATTGGATTTAAATGAAACTAGTGCCATTGGTTAGATTTTGAAACAAGCTTAGTGTGGGTACTTGAAGCACCCCAATTAGACATCAGATATGAAAATGGCACACTTTTGAAGTTCATATCATAATTTGAAACTTGACAGCAAATTTCGTTACATGCACTGCGGCTTATGTAACAATAAAGGGCAACATATTGCAGCACATGGCACAAAGAGTGACATTGAGGTCTCTGTGCCACATGCCGCAACACATGACCCCTGTTTTGACTTGATTTGATTGAAATGCACATGTTTTCTTGTTCTTTGATAAACTTTTGCATATTGCTTCTACTGTGCAGTGTTTTACAACTCAATTATTTATAAAATGGTTTTGAAAATGTTTTATATGGGATCCTAAATTTTCAAAATAAATGATTTTGAATTGATTAGTAGTTATAGTATAGGGTTGTATGGTAATGTCAGTAAGGACATTACAATCATCTTATACCTCCTAACCCCCTCTCTCATCTCTCTTACAATGGTTGATTCTATTTGTTCTAAAAACAGTTCTTTAATTCATTTCTCATTTTAAGCATTGGTTTTAACCATGATTTTTATATATTTAGTCATCCAAGTTAAGGTAGATTTTTTTTTGTGGTACTAATGTTTTCATTCTACAAATCCTTTACATGTTATTAATGTGAATATTGTAATATTGATTTATACTGATATGATAATAATTTACAAACTAAGAGAACAACGATTAATAGTTCACTTGGCCATGACAATAGTTCACTTTTCAACCCAAATACTCAACAATAACTAATATAAATATTTCACAAGAGTACAACAAACAAAAAGGAAATAAATTATAAATTGCTAGATAAGCATTTTATATGAAGCTCTATTATTTTAAGATCAAATGACCTATTACCTCTGACAATGAGACATTACATTCTTTAAGCTACATCCATCTTGTAATTCTTCAACCATTTATTGACTATAACATCATCATTACTTTACCTATAAACTTCACTTTTTAAGTCAACTTATTAATTCTCTACTACATTTGGTGATCTAGTAAGGCTGCCCATAGCCTTGGCTTTCTCCCTTAAAATATACTTTTGTATCTTCCCTGTTGCATTTTTTGGTAAATCCTCAAAAATAACTGTTTTGGGGGCCATGTAATGAGGCATATGGTTTCGACAAAAATTGATTATTTCTTGAGCATCTACATCAAGACCCTCTTTCAAACTCACAAATGCACAAGGTGTTTGTCCCCAATGATCATCAGGCCTAGCCACAACCGCAGCTTCAAGAATTGCTGGATGGTTATACAAAAGTGTTTCTACCTCCACTGAGCTTATATTCTCTCCTCCAGAGATTATTATGTCCTTTAATCTATCCTTTATTTCTATATACCCATCAGAGTGTTTCACTCCTAGATCACCACTATGAAACCACCCTCCTTTAAAAGCTTCCTTTGTTGCATTCAAATCTCTTAGATATCCACTCATCACTGTGTTTCCTCTAAACATTACCTCACCAATTGTTTTTCCATCTGCTGGGACACTTTCCATTGTGTTAGGGTCTTTTATGTCAATTGCATCCAAACCCACATGAGGAATTCCTTGTCTAGCTCTTCTTTTGTATTTTTCTTCAGGAGCCAAAGAATCCCACTCAAGTCTCCATGCACATGAAGTGCCAATACCATATGTTTCTGTTAGGCCATAAAGGTGAGAAACATTGAATCCAAGGTCCTCTATCTTGGATATGATTTGAGGTGGTGGTGGAGAACCAGCTGTCATCACTGTCACCTTGTGGGGAAGAGACTTTTTATCAACTATTATAGAGTTTACAATCATGTTTAGAACTGTTGGAGCTCCTCCCATATGAGTCACCTTATGTTTGAACAAATTATCAAAGATATCTTTCGGAGTGACTTTTCTAAGGCACACATTAGTTCCACATTGAGCAGCCACACCCCAAGGTAGACACCAGCCATTGCTATGAAACATAGGCACAACCCAAAGATAAATAGGCATAAAGCCCATTCCAGAGAGAAGAACAGTTGCTAGAGAATTCAAATACGCACCTCTGTGATTAAAAATAACACCTTTCGGCCTTGATGTAGTGCCAGAAGTGTAATTTATACATATAGGATCAAATTCACTATTTGGTCTCACAATCTCAAACCTACTATTCCCATTTGAGAGTATCTCCTCATATTCATACTTGACTAAGGTATTACTAGTAGATGAGTGATTAGAATCAGTGACAAGAACTAAAGTAGGGATGTTTTCAACACTTTTGCTTAGTAGGTTATTCAATGCTCCTTTTGCAACTTCAAGTAATTGATAGTCGACAAAAAGGACCTTTGCTTGTGAATGCTCTAGTAGAATTGAAACCATATCTCCAGTAAGACGTGTATTAAGGGTGCATAGAATTGCTCCTGCCATAGGTACTGCAAAATGTAGCTCATACATTGCAGGGACATTAGGGCATAGGGTAGCAACCTGTTGGGAGGGGGAAAGAACCAAAGGTAGTGAAGAAAAAAGTGCATTCAAGGAGTACAATACTTACAAAGACATTTAACATATGATATTATCAAGAGAAAAAATATTAAAATTTTAGCCACCACAACAAAATGACAAAAGACTATTATAGAAAGGACTTTTTACATTGGCTATTTTAGACACTTTACATCAGACAATTGAAGGATGTAAAAAGAAGTGTAGTAATAAGTTGACTTTTCAAATATGTTAGTAATATGTTGACTTTTCACATATGTTAGTAATAAGTTGACTTTTCACATATGTTACATAATCAATACGGAAAGCACTTAGAAAGGAAAAAGAAAAGGGAAATGATGCTAAACATAAACAGGAGCTAGAAACACATTAAAGGCCTTGAAAATTTGAAAAGCACAATTAGAAAACAAATTCCCAAGCAGGCTGAGTTGTAAATTCTTGATGCACTTTTGTAAATTATTGAAGATCAACAATAAATAAAAAATACCATGTTATGGTTTGCTAATGTGATTAAGCCATCACTTTCATGTAACATCATGTTGTAAATTATCAAATATTGGTTGTAAATTAGTGATGATTATTTGTGAATGGAAGATAACATCAAGACTATAAGATGGATAGTTGACTTTTGGAAACCCAAAAATTGATGTGGAAAATGACAATTAGGGACCTTGTAAGAACATTATTGACTATTAAAAACTTCAAATTATTGAAATATTAGAGAAGGACCATGATCTTTATTTACAATTAAAATACTTCTAATAATTAAAATAACTAATACAAGGCCACACACGAATTTAAGGAAAGTTATTTGTAAATTTAAGGAAAATTATTTGAGAATATATAGAAATTCAATTGTGAATGGATAATTTAATAATTCATGAATATTATAAATCATCACTTGTGAATTTTTGTAACATTACTTACGAACTTATGAAAAGTTAGTTATGAATGGATATTCACAAATATGAGAGCAACCTAAATCAATGATTCACAATAAAAAAAATATTTATATCCATTCACAACTAATATTCCATATATTCACAATGGCATTCCTTAAATTGGGAAAATAATACTAAAGATCTTGAAATTATATATAAATGATAATCTGATCTCTTTAAATGCTATAATTTTACTAAAGTTTCTAAGGACCAGATTATCATTTATAAAGACTTCTGTGTTAATAAATTTTAAAGTGAAAATATTATTTTACCCTTATTAAAAGTAAAAGTCCCAAGGCAAGGCTCAAAATAGCAAGCCCTAATTATAACTTTTACTTTTATGAATTACAAGAATTGAATAAGAAATTATAACCTGTCAAGTGTAATTTCTGTTATTCAAAAATAAGTCTCAAAATCATAAGTTTTGACACAACTTTTGTTTAAAAAATAACAATTTTTATTCAAACAACCACAAGAATTAGGCAAGAGATAACAACTTGTCAATAAGAGTAAAATAACCTTTTTAATTTAAAATTTATTGATAAAAAAGTTCCTAAAGACTTTAGTAAAATTATAATATTTTGAGGAATCAAATTTTTATCAATATAACTTTAGAGATTTTATCATCATTTCTCCAAAAATCAACGTTTCTTGTAGATACTTCGTGAGGAAGTAATGCATTATTGTAACTTTAATTCTTTTCATGTTTTCCGCATATTGCTCCCTGAGATATATCTTCTCAAGAAAACAATCCAACGGCAAGAAATGCGCGCGTGCTTATATACACATATACATAATACATATACATATAATATTATTCCATAGAGAAATTTCCATTTGCAGATAAAGAAAAAGTTGCTAACAGAGATGTTAAGTTGGGCTTAAATAAGCTTGAAAATGTTTAGGACCAGGCCTAACAAAATAATGGTTTTTTAATGTTTATCCAGATAGGCTTAAAAAAATTCATACCAAGCCCAAACAAGTTCAGTCTTAGCCCGAACACCCAAATAAATAATTTATTTTTGAAAAAATAAATAAAATATAATAATATTAATTAATTATTTAAGTTTTTGATTATTTTATACTAAAATATCATATATTTAAGCATATTACTATAGATGTTTTCTTAAAAAGATAAAAAAAATTTCTAGTATCTTTAAAAAAAATAAAATATTCATACTATCATATTTTTACTATTTTTAATCTACAGAATATCTCAAAATAATATTTAATTTTTTTTTACATTTTTATTACTTTTTACATTTTAAGTCCCACATATTTTTTTAAAAAGTTGAGTCTTATACATCATTTAAGTATCCCAAAAATATATTTTATAATTTTTATAAAATAAAAATAATTAATTTTAAAGTAAAAAATTAATTTAAAAAAATAAAAATACAAGTATTCAAGCCACACAAAGTTCAATTGAATTTAGGCTTGATTTAGCCATTCAAGCTTTAAATGATGTTCAGGCCCATTTGAGTCAAGCTCTTTCTAGTTTGCTTGAATAAGCTGAGCTCATCTAAATTACCACCGAGTCATTCCAAACTTGTTAAAACAGTAAACCAGAATTTGAATCCCATGACAAAAAAAAAAAAACCTTTTGATTAAAAAAAGAAAAACAAAAACATGCCCACACGCATACGCATATAAGGAAAGGCTCAAAAGGGATAGTAAAACCAATCAATCTTCATAAGAATACACTAGTTATAAATAATACACACACACACACACTATGGATAAGTTATTAATTTCAGAATTGGTTCAAAAATAAGTTATAAATAACATATAAGAGAGGGTACGTAGGACACACCACATCTCCACGAGAAATCCCCAAGCCAGCAAGAGCAGAAGCAAGTTTTAAACAACGTTCATGAGTTTGAGCCCAATTATACTTTTTGGAATCACCATAGATGATAGAGGTTGCATCAGCAGAGAAATTGGCTGCTCTTTCCAAGAAAGTTATAGGAGTCAATGGAGCGAAATTCACATCACATTGAAGCAAACCCTCCACCATTTTTGAACCAAATTTTGCTTCGATGTTTGAGGATTTATGTGCATTAGGACGTGAAGGCGAAGAAACATGCTTGGTTCTGAAACATGGGGAGAGACGAGTAGTCCTGGGAAGGTTGTGGAAGGAGAGGTTCATGGTAATAACTGTGAGAAATAAAGAAATTGATTCAAAATGGAAACACTGATACGTACTTGGCGACGGTAATCACACAGTTTCCACACACACACACACACATATATATATATGTATATCCTTACACACACACAACTTGAATGATACAAGTCCTCAACTAAATGTTGTTGATAATAATAGCAAGTGGGCCTTGGAATTTAAAACATTTTATGATAAAAAAAATTAATAAAACGTTGAAATTCACGGTTTTAATTTTTTTATAATTTAAAGTACTTTTTAATATTCAAAATAGAGTACAAGTATAACAAATTAAATTTTGCAGTAATCATTTAAACTTCTACAATTTCAAGAAACTTTTTTAGTATTTTTTTTCCTGACAAAAGTAAGATTGAAATGTTTTAATTTTTTGAATATTAATATTTTTGCATAAGTAAGCAAATTGGCTCTTAAATTATAGATTCAGAAGCATTCGAGACTTGAGCTATCAATTAGGGCCAGAGCTTAAACGAGCTAATCTCGTTAAGGTTGATTATACCTTAGGGCTTCATTTTGATCAGCCTCTTAGGGTTGAAAAACCGGCCCTTAGGGTCTTGGCCCTATTTTTTTCCATTTTTTAATCTAAAAATTAAAAAAAATATGTTTAAAATCTTAAAAAATTTATCACGCACAACATTAAGTCTAAAAAACAAATTTAAGTGAATACACACAACAATAAATTTGACTCTAATAAAAAACATTACAAAATCAACATCAGTAGTAATTACACTTTGCTAGCATTATCAACTAGATTTTGATGATTTTCATTGTCATTAACATTAATATAATTTCTTCCTTCTCCTTGTGGAGCCTCATCAATGGTAAAAATATTAAACTTTTCATGTATTTATTTTTCATTCTCGTGAAATGAGTTCATGGTAATAACTGTGAGAGATAAAAAAATTGATCCAAAATGAAAACACTGATACGTACTTGGCGACGGTAATCACACAGTTTCTATATACATGTGTGTGTGTGTGTGTGTGTGTGTGTTTTTTTTTTTTAATGGTACAAGTCCTCAACTAAATGCTGTTGATAATAATGGCTAACTCGGCCTTGGAATTTAAAACATTTTATGCTGAAAAAATTTTAATAAAAGGTTCACAATTTTAATTTTGGAGAATTAATCTAAAGTTCCAATCAATATAATTAATTACTTTCAAGTTCATTAACAACTGAGCCTAAGAGAATGACAACACATTAGGCTCAGCTGTTAATAGATCTAGGAGTAATTAATTGTATTGAGTGAGCAAGTATGTAATTCTTCCTTTAATTTTTTTTATAATTTAAAGTAATATTTGAAACTTCTACAACTTGAAGAAACTTTATAATAGTTTTTGGACAAAACAAATAGAATGATTATATATCCATGATAACATTGAATTTTTTTATATTTTTGAACATTAATATTTTGGGTAAATGAGCAAACTAACTTTTAAGTGCCCGTTTGGATTTCAGTTGGATATAATAGATTATGAAAATAATTGATTAGGTGATAGATTTTAATCATAATTGATTATGTTATAACATAATTTGTTTGGATACTTTTTTTTAAATTAATTTTAACAAAATTAAAGATGTTTGAATAATTTTGTTAAAATCAATTTTAGCTATATAAATTACTATAAATGACATTGCTTTTCATAATTAAATTATTAATATATTTGTATCTAATATTATTAAATTTTATTTAAGAAGTAAAATATATTATTTAAATTAAATATCTGATTAATTATAAAAATTTAAATTATATTAATATTAAAAATTTAATTTACATAAATAAATAACTCAATATATCTTATTTCAAATAAATTTAATAAAAGAGAAAGATTTAATTCTTAAATACAAACATCAATTTTTTGAGGATACAAATTTTGAATTTTATTAAGGAAAAAAAAGAAAAAGAGAAGAGAAAAGAGTTTGGTTTTATTTTTATTAAATCATGTTCTTTCTTTGTAATTTTTTTTTGGGCCATTTTTTGTAAATTTTTTTAATACTTTTTGGCAAACTTTTCGTCAAAAGCTCGGAAGCTTCCAGAAAAAATTAATTTTTGACCCAAAAATTAATTAACCAAAAAAATGGATGTTTAGATAATTTTGTGGAGAATCAATTGTTTTATCGAAAAAATCGATTATGAACCATATCCAAACTTACACTAAATTGTAGATCTAGGAACTTTTAATACTTTAAACTTGTCTTTTATATAATATTTTCCTTCGTTAGTTAATCAAGAAATAACAGAAAAGGATCTCAAAAATTACCAAAAATGATAAAAAAATTTTGTCAACTTTTTTGTAATTTTTGATGTCATTTTCTATATTTTTTGGTCAACTAACAATCAAAGTTATCTTTTATTAATGGAAAGGGTCAGCTTGCACACTGTTTTAAAAGTTGAAGGGAAATGTATAAAAAATAAGTTTAGAGTTTCAGATACTTTTAACCTAAAGTTCAAGGCCAATTTACACATTTATCCTAATCACACAGTTTCAACATACATACATACATACAATTTTAATGATACAAGTCCTCAACTAAATGCTGTTGATAAAAATATCAAGTGGACCTTGGAATTTAAAACATTTTATGCTGAAAAAATTAACAAAAAGTTTATATTCACGGTTAATTTTTTGATAATATAAAGCACTTTTTAATATTCAGAATAAAGTACCAGTATAACAAATTGAATTGTGCAGTAATCTTTAAATTTTCTACAATTTGAAGCAACTTTGTTGTAATTTTTTGACAAAATAATTAATTAGAATGATTATATATCCATGATAGCATAGCATATGAGACCCTAAAGTCATCTTATATGTTTGCCTAAAATTTTTAAAAAATACAATCTAACCCTTATTATTAAAAAAAAGTTTACTTTTATTGTTAATTAGTTGATCAGAAAATAATAGAAAAAGATTTCAAAAATTATGAAAAAGGACAAAAAAGTTCTTTGGCCATTTTGTATAATTTTTTGGTTCCTTATCTGTAATTTTTGAATCATTCACTGTAATTATTGAGTCATTTTTTTAATAATTTTTTAGACTCTTTTCTGTCATGTTCTAATCAATTAATGATAAAAGTTAATTTTGTTAATGGCAAGGATCAAATTGTATCAATTTTGAAAGTTAAAGAGAAATATTGCACAAAAGATCAATGAATTTAAGGTTTTAGATTCTGGACCTGTAATTTAAGAGTTATTTTACTTATTTACTCTAATATTTTTATAATATATTTTATAGCATTATTACTTGTAAATATAACTCATATTGTTGACAAGAAAATGTATTGCATATATCTCGTACCTACCAATCAATGAAGCAATTGATTTCTAAAATTATTGGTGAATTCACGTGATTTTCCTATAAAATAAGATGACAACGTGCTCAACTACAATTGAATTGAAGCCTAATTTCAAAACCATTGAATAATGACAAAACCTCACGTGTGGACCTAATCAAATTTTTTGCCTGTCTTTCAATTTTTTTTCAAACATTTTATAAAAAAATTTAGCCAAGAAAAGTAGTTTAATTTAAAATCATTTACAATTTACAATTAGTAAATTTCATGTAATGGACTTTCATCAAAATTAAAAACTTTATGTAAGGGAGGAGAAAGAACAATTAGTAAACTATCTTGGCCTTCCTATCTTGTGGGGCAAGTCAAGGTTGAAGCTCCAGCCTTTGTGAGAGATATATAGGTTGGGGGAAAAATATTGGAGGTGGATTAATAAACAATTCCTTTCTCAAGCTGGCAAAGAAACTTTAATTAATGCTGTGACTAATGCTATACTCACTTATTCAATGTCTTGTTTTCAATACTCAAAGAAGACTTGCCAAGAGTTAGACAATATTATTTCTGATTTTTGGTGGGTGTGTAACAAAAAATGGTAAGAAAATTCACTGAAAATCTTGGGAGGTTCTGACAAAAGGGAAGATGGAGGGAGGGATGGGATTGAGCGACTTTCAACAATTCAACTTAGCTCTCCTTGGCAAACAACGATACGTACATGGCCATGGTAATCACAGTTTCTACACACATACACACACACATTAGGAAATATCTATACTTCAAATTGCTTTATATATCCGTATTAATATCGATACTTCTTCAATACATATTCATAGAGTATCAAAATATTATTGAAATACGTATTTGATATTTTTAAATTGCGAGTTGATACTTTAAAATTGATTTTTCGAAGCTATTTTTAACAAATTAAAATTTATGAAATATTGCAATATTATTACTTTTTGTTTCTAATATATTTTTGTGATTTTCTTTTAAAGTTAAAGATTAGATTTTTCTTAAAAAAATAAGTTTTGGATATGATAAAAGGATCAAATTTTTTTTTCAATTTTAAAGATGTAGGAATATAATCTTTTGGCATATAAACCTTAAGTATGGAATTATCAATAGAGACTAGGTAGTAGGCAATTAGGTAGATATTAAATGAAAGTATAATTAATGATTATATTATTATAAAGAACTATAAATGTATGTTAGGTTGGATATTTTTTAAATTAAAATTATATTTTTTTACATTTTTATGATTATTTTATAAATATATTTACATGCATTAGAAACGCATTATGTCCTATATTTTTAGAAATAAAAGTATCGATGTTGTGTATCAGTACCTGTACAACATAGCATATATATATATATATATATATATTAATGATACAAGTCCTCAACTAAAGGTTGTTGGTAATAATTGCAAGTAGGCCTTGGAATTTAAAACATGTTATGCTGAAAATATACATTTAATGATACAAGTCCTCAACTAAACGTTGCTGATAGTAATGGCAAATGGGCCTTGGAATTCAAAATATTTTATACTTGAAAAAAATTAACAAAATGTCGATATTCACGGTTTTAATTTTGTTGATAGTTTAAAGTATACTTTTTAATAATCAGAATAGAATACAAGGATAACAAATTAAATTTTGCAGTAATATTTAAAACTTCTACAATTTGAAAAAAATAATAATAAGTTCATGTAAGGGGCGAGAAAGAACAATTA